CTCCTTGTCTCCCTGCATATATATATTAAAAGAGAAAAGAAAAAAAAGAAAGTCTTAGTCTATTAGTTCTGCCTAGGCCTATAAATTATGAGCATGTGCTTGAGCCTTATTGTTGTACCGAGTATTGACGAGAGTGTAGATTCTTTAACTATTCAATAATTCAACAATGAACTCAGCATCTCTTAATAGACAATTACAGGTGAATAAACTTGTATCATGAAAAAGAACACAAAAAAGAAGAAAAACAAATCTTTGACTCTGCACACAACAGACACACAAATGGTGCAAGAACCACTATCTATTTCAGTGTTTCCACATAACATGTTTATCATATCTACCCTTAATACCAAATCATCATGTCTTGAGTCCCCTCACCTTATCTGCGCTTCCATTCCCTAGATTTCCTCCCATCATCTGTTTCATCCCCTGACCTTAATTTTCAGTGTTGGCTTCACTTGTTTGGCTGCTTTCTTTAGCCTTAGCTTTCATATCTTTTCTTCCTCATCATCTTTTCTCTCACCAACCTTCAAAATCACCTTTGCATTGCTGTCCTCAGCTTTGTACTTGTACCAAGAGGCCCAGTAAAGGTAGTTAAAGAAATTAAGACAGCTTAGGATTGCTAAGAACCAATAGAACAAGTTGAGATTATTTTTGTTCAAGTCCAAACCATGCAACCACCCTTTTTTGCTTGGAGTGACCCTTTTGGTAACAGCATTGATGACATCCACAAAGATTGTGCTCAAGAAGTAGCCAAGAGACATGGACAAGTATGTGAAAGAAGTTGATAGTGACTTCATGTTTTCAGGTGCTTCTCTGTAGAAGAATTCTAGGAGTCCTACAAGAGTGAACATGTCTGCAATTCCAAATATAGCAAATTGGAAGGATAACCAAAAGAGACTTATTGGCCTTGAGGGGTCCTTCCTTCCTTGATTCCTTCTTTTCACTTCTACTATCCCAGCTACTGCCATTGAAATGGAAGAAAGTACTAACCCCACACCAACTCTTTGAAGATGTGTAATGCCAGAAGGGTGGTGAGTGATCTTTCGTGCGAATGGCACAAAGACGATTTCATAGAAGGGAATGAGGATGGCCAAGAAAAGAAGGGGGATAACAGGAATGGATGGTGCAGGCACTGTAAAAGAACCTAGTTTCAGGTTCATCACATTCCCTTGCTGGACCGAGAATGTTTGGAGCTGTGCTAAACAAGTGTTCATTATAATAGTACTGGCTAATATAGGTAGCATTCTTGTTAAGATCTTCACTTCTTCAACTTGTGTCACTGTGCACACCTTCCATGCACGTGGTTCATTGTTTTCCTGAAGAATGCTTGCTTTATCTAGAAACCTGATTCAACAAATAAGACCGTTAAAATAAAAATTATGTTGATGTCATCATTAATTATGTTCAACTATTAATATGCATGGTGATTTGATTTAGGCAACCCCTCTTTTTAAAAGAACTAAATCATTGAGCTTATGGCATGTATTGAGAAGGAAATTGCTTTCCATTTTCTCTGAGCCAACAAAAATAAATAAATAAACAAGAGTTTGATTGCAGGTAGCACTGTTGTTTTAAAACTTTTTTTCAACAAGTTGTTGTCAGAAACGTATTTATTTTCTTGTGTGTGTGATGTTTACAAGCGGCTCAGATATATTTTCCGTGATCATTCTCTGTATGGCTGCAGCTCCAAGCGTGCAGCAGTGAGAGTAGGGCCAGAGTCCTTGGCACTACCTACTCCGTCGTACATGAAGAAAAGAATCTCAACACGCCAAGGTGCTGGACCATGTATTAGTTAATTGTCTCATCACTCACACAACATCATTAGCCAGTGTGTGTAGCACTACTATGCAATGCAAGCTGTTAAGCATGAATCTTGAGCACGAGTGAGTCACCTCATTTGGTTGGAGTGTGCAATCTTCCCTGATGCACCGTCACACACCTCATAAAGTTCTTCATGAGACTCTGGCAGTGGTAGCTTTCTGTTTTTAATAGCCACAACAATAACCTGTGGTGAAACAAAACATGGTTGGTTTCTAGAAAATAACAATCTGAAATGAATTAAATTTGTGCAGGATGCATAAGGTAGTTTTAATTAACCTGCGCAATGGTGGAAAGGGGGCTTTGAGAAGAGGTTTTAATGCGGTAAAATGGCTTGCCAAGAGCAAGGGTCAGAAAGCCAATGGAGGAAGCTATGGTTATTATCAAAAATCCCCAGTGCCAAGCCTTTTGAGTGCTGATCCACACAACCCCAGTGACCCCTACAATTGATCCCGTGGTTGAACTGAGCAAAATCCAATTGAAGAAGCTAGAAAGAGCCTTTGCTTCTTTTGGATTCTTTTCATCAAATTGGTCAGCACCAAGTGGCACCATAGAGCCTCTTACTCCTCCCATGCCCAAAGCCAACAAATACAATGATGTGTAAAACATGACAGCTATGCCACCCTTAACACAGCTTGACTTGCCACAAGCCTGTGGTTGCAAATGGTCCAGAGAAGCTTGAACCGTGAGCATCACCAAAGCCTGTTGTAGGGAATGGCCATTATGAGAAACAAACTTTAACGTTTTTGAACCACTTTTGTCTCTTTGGACTAGGCCATTGGGATTTGGAATTTCCAAATAATAATATATAATTCAAAGAATTCAAACAGTTACCAAAATTTCGAGTGATCCGAAAAGCAGGCATGTGGTTAGTCTGCTCAAGTAAGTGTCCGAAATGAAGCCACCAACGAGGGAGAGCAAGAAAGTTGAACCCAAGAAGTTTGTGAGGGTGTCGGCTGAGCTGGCGAGATCAAAGTGCATGACCATGTAAAAGTATAGGACTAAGCTGACCATGTTTGCCACACAACCCATGTTGTCCAATGTTGATAACGCTGCAGGAATGAAATAAAATGAAGATACTTTACAAACTATTCTCATATCTCATAAGTCATAACAATCACATGAGTATTTGCTTCAACTATATATGCTTAGTGCTTACCAAAGATAAACATGGAAGCCCTGAATCCACCCTTTTTGGCTTGTTTTTCCTCCTTGTCTCCCTGCATGAATTTCAAAGTCGTTAACTAGACCCTTAGAGAGGAGAATGGAGATAGAGGATGAGGTGTTACTTACCATCCTGGAGTTTGAATTCAAACAAGATGAGTGATGGGAGGAAATGTTTTGAGCTGAGAGAGGATGGTGAAGAGAGAAGCTTTTAAAGGCGTGTTTGTTTTAAGTTTCGTTGAACTGAAATAAGCTTTGTGTTGGAACAGAACTTTAGAATTCGTGTTTTTGTTAAACCAAACACGCTATAATAAGTTAGTTCAGTGCCTTAAACTGTTTGCTTCTGCTGTCCTCTTTCCTATTTATCATGTTTCTCTCTCCTGGACTCTGCTTTGTCACTGGTTTCAAACTTACAGACACAAATTACGGGTTCAGAAAAATTGCTCGAGATTTTTTTTATTATTTCAAGATTACTAAATGAAGAAATCAACATTTCCCCAAATACCACCCTCACATCAACTTTTCACAATATTACTCTTTTTTTTCCTTACCAATATTCTAATTTGATAAAATAATTAAACAAATTGCCCTATTAATTAACTTTAGAGAAATATGATTCACTTAAATCTACTTATATATTTTTGTCTTTAATCATGAATCTCGTTTGAAGTTTTTAATCACTTAACAGAGTTAGCTCTTATATTTCCATACACAAAACTAAGAAAAAAAACATTATAATTTAAAATTATATATGATAAAATATTTCATTCTAATTATTATATAGATAAAAATAATACAATAATTTTTAACTATATTTTATTTCAAATTACAATATAGTATTAGTCTTTTAAATATTTAATTTGCATGATACCTCTATCTTAAGTATTTCATTTTTTTTATTTAACTCCAAGATTTCAATAAGCGTAAAAAATTGAGGCATGTAATGATATAATATTCAAATAAAATAGCAAAACAAAAAAAAATTAAATAATTAAATAAGATTAAATTACAATTTATTTGTATATATTAGTTTTTGAGGATAACACAATATATTTTTATATTTTGATTTGCGATAAGCATCATATTATAAGAGTCATTGTTGGTGTGATCTTTCAGTTTTGAATATAAAAGTTAACAATATTCTAATCAACTGGTTGATAATGTACGGGATAACCTATTTTTTCATATTATAATTTCAGCATTTGGATCCTCTGTGTGTGTTTGGATTTGCGTTTGAAAAATTGATTTACTAAAATCAATTTCGTGGATGTAGAAGCCATTTTTTTCAGCTTCAGCCAAAATCAATTTTCACCCTTAAAATTATGTGATGAAAAAAAACTCAAACATTTATTCAACAGGAAGAATCACGTTTTTGCACAAAAATACGCGTGTCTAGATCTCCAATCGCGTATCCAAACACGCTATATATTGTAGTTATAGTTTATATATAGAGACAAAGTTAAACTCAAAGTCACACACAAACTATAAATTGATGGAAAAACATTATTTTTAAATTGATTCACCCATTCAATAAGGATCTATTGATTTTAAAATATTTTCTTTTTTTAATTATTATATATATATATATATATATGTTTTTTAATATTATGTCTTATATGTTAATATGTATATATATATATATATATATATAAAACCTTTTAACACAAAAGTCTAACATTTTATATTTTATATTTTTCAAACTAAATCATATTTCATCTATTTTTGCTAATTTATTTGAAACCCCTCCCTAACTAAACAATGGTTTATTATTTTTTATCTTAGTTTTTAAATTAATATGTATACCTTTGTTCACATAATCACATATTACATAAAGGTAATTTATATGTTTCTCATATATTTGTTAGGCTTGTCTATAATTACCTGTATATATTGTATTAAGACATAAGCTAGCCCAGATAATGTAAGGATTGAGAACCTCATGAAAAACAATACAAGAAGTATTAGCCAATAAAGTAAAAGAAAACAAAGAAAGAAACAAAATTATAACTTTTAAAGTAAAAATTGATATTTAATTAATATTGTACAGGTTAGGCCATTCGGCCATACCCATTTGACATTACTAAAAGCAAGACCCCAATTGCCACCTTCAACAATCGATAGGAGAGGCCTATTTGACTGTGTCTTCCATACTGAGGATCCCTTACACCATTTGGTACAATCGGCAGCTGAATCGGACCATACCAATTAACATACCTCGGCACTTTCGGTGGCTGACGGTCGATCGACATCCCTGACAGTCGAGATAATTCAGCGAAGGTGATTTGTTGGTTGGCTAATCATTCCTAAGTGGTGGTTAAGGGTTAATCATATGTGTAAGTTAATTAACGGGATATTACCTAATTTGGTAATTCTAGTACAAGGCCCATTGAGGATTGAACCCATTAATGTCAGTATAAATAGTTTACATATCGAGGTAAAGTTACTGTTCATTTATTACTATCGATATTCATGTTTGTCTTGAATTGAGCGTCGAAGTGTCTTTTGCAGGTACTTTCTTCTATTGAAAAATCTGCTTGGAACTCTCGTTCAACCTTCAGATTACGAGAAAATTACTAGTATACTCTCAAACAGGTACAAATATTTTACAAGCAAGTCTACGTCTAAATGTTATGTAAATCTTAAACTCTAAATCTTAAACCGTAAAATATGTACATAAAACAAGTTTCTTTTAATTTTATAAAACAATATTGTTAATTGATATGATAAAATTGTACCAATAATAAAATTATATTTTTAATCATAATTTTTAGAATAGTTAGTTTATAAAAAAGTAGTCTTATTATATGTCAACTCAATCACTATAAAATTTATACAAAAGCGATAATCACAAACCATATTTAGCCAATTAAGTTCATCAATTTTAATCATATTATCCGTACTTTATTTATGCGTACATCTAATGAATTCACAACCTAGTTATCCTCACTCATAAAAATAAAAATATTATCCCACTTTATTTTCTTAACTCAATTTTTCCTTAAAATAAAAATTCTAACTTAATTATTAAAAAAATAGAATAATTATTTTATCTTACCATATCATAATAATTAATCTTTGAAACTAATCCTGTCTAATTAAATTAATCATATATCAAACTTACTCAATTTTTCTTTGAGATAAAAAAATACACAAACTAAAAGAAGAAAATAAAATAATTAAATAATATATTCATATCTTAACCTTACATCCAATAACTAATTATTAAAAAATAGAATAATTATTCCATCTAATATATTATAACGGTTAATCTGAAAAACTAAACTCATCTAATTAATCATATATCAATGTTACCTATTTTTTTCACACGAAAAAAAGTCAAACGATATCATAACAATTAATCTCAAACTAAACTTATATCTAAAAAATACTCAATTTTTCCTTGAGACAAAATATACATTAACTAAAATAAAAAATAAAAAATTAACAGAATAAGATAATTATATCTCAAAATTACCTTCAATATATAACATATTAAAAAATAGAATAATTATTCAATCTTAACATATCACAACAATTAATCTCTCATTCTAAGCCTATCTAATTTATAATTATCTAAGATATGTTCATTAACAATCAATATACATATTTTTTTCAAAAACAAATGAATTTTTTAATGCTAACACTGCACACAATTGAACGTCACAATTTTTTCATTACACTCGATGCCAGGAAGTTACACTTGGTGTGATGGTCATTTCTGCAATTGATAAAGTCACGATTTTTGCTCTCCTTACCTGAAAATCAATCCAAAGCAACATGAAACATCAGAGATTCTAGCTCTAAAGTTTCTCTTTCTAATTTCTCTTGCTTTTTGTTTGTGGGGATTTTCGTTTGTAGATTGTTTTCACTCGAACTAGTAAAGCTTCAATTTAGGTATGCATTATACGTGATGTATCTTATGTCTTTCTAAATTAAGATTACCATGAAGTTCACCAGATGCAAATGCAAATGACCATGAACCAGTCAAGATTCACTTTGATATGGATTTACATGTAAAGATTTTCAAGTGCTCATAGATGGTTATCACAAAGTAAGTTTCACACATATGAACATTCAAGAGAATCGAATGAACAATATACACATTAATAATGGAAAATATATATATATATATTTATTTTAGGTGTACATCATAATCATTTCAATTTAAAGCATATCATATAATATGCATATTTTCTTATTTTATTAAATTTTTGATGAAGTTTTGATGATTATTTTAATGATCAAAAACTCATTTTGATATTGAATTTTTCTTCTTGAGCTGGTTTCTCTCTAAGATATATACTGCCTTTTTCTTACTTTGTACTCTATACTCCTAAATCGGTAATTGCAATTGTTTATAATTTTAATGATATGAACTATTAGCGTGTTTGCTTCCGAGTCTAAACGTGAAAATTCACGTTTTCAGGAAGTAAAAAATTTCAACTTCGTGGAGAGAGAGTCAAGAATTACGTTTACAAATTCAAACCAAACACACATTATATCTCCTCAATTATTTTTTTAATACTTACACTTACTTATTTATACACACTATATCTCCTCAATTATTTTTTTAATACTTACACTTACTTATTTATACATTCACTATTTCAAATTTCCCTTTGTTTTAATAGTTAATTCTATATCAATAAAAATTAAAAATACATTATTAACCAGAATAATATCATTGAGATAATAAGAAAAAAAATGAAATGAATTGTTTCTCATTTACTTTTTTTGTTCATCTTTTTTCTGTTCTATTAAGGAAAATGCACTTTTTGTCCGATCTCTAGCAACTAGCAAGTGGGTTGTTGCTTCTTGTCACATTAACACATTAAAGGAAAAGAAGAGAGACGCTGGTACCATGTCTTGTTTTTGCTAAAATAAATTTAGGGAGAAGGATGACTTAAATAATTTAAAAATTGAAAAAATAAAATATCATAAATATTATTTAAATAAATTATTAAAAATATAAAATATACCCTCTCAAATAAGATGGGTACATAGAATTTCTCTAACTTTAAAACAAATTATAATGGATTTTAATATATATATATATATATATATATAATTATAAAAATTATGTGTACCCAACTAAAAGAATTTACTTATTTATTTTTTTAAATCTATGATTTCATTTGAATAAATCAAATTAATTCCAAATTCTAAGTTTGAAGTAAAATATAAAATATTTGTACTCCTCCAAAATGTTAAATGTGATTTAACAAGTGTGAAAACATATTTATTAATTAAAATGGTCATATGTATTCATCAATTAAAATTAATTATAAAACAATTATTTATAAGGTATAAAAATTCTTAATAAAATAATATTACAATAAAATGAAAAATTATTTATAAGAGTCAG